TATGTATTTTTTATTATTTTCAAAAGTAGAGGCTTTCTTCCCCCTAAAGCACCTTCTGGGCCAATGTTTTTAAGCAGATGTCCTGCAGCTGCAGACTCTTATTTGGCTGTTCCACTTTTTTTTTTTTTTTTTTTCCTGTTTCCCAGCAGTTCTCAAGTCACATGAAGTCTCTTGGTCCAGCCTGAGTCTTTGGGTTGGCACGTGTGTTACAAAACCCGTTCCTGGCCGTTTCCCAGCCAAACATTAGGCCCAAGGCACAGACAAGGCCCCGAGCATTCCTGCTGGTAGAGCTGAGGCAGTAATGATTTAAAACTCCAAATAAAAAGTGTTATTTCTGTGCAAAACACTCTTGCTCTCCCCTGGGCCCATGCCAGTCTGAGGCCTGAACATAGAGGACAGATTTTCCCACTTTCTGTTTGTCTGGGAAATATAACTCTGCAGAAGAGTCCTGCAGTGCTGGAGCCTGTTGTCTTCTCTATGTTTACAGAAAAAAGATATTTCTGTGCCTGAAGGGTGGTGACTTGGGTGGTGATGGGGAAAAGTGCTTTGTGCCAGACTGAATTCACCGTGTAGTTTTGGAGCGATTCCATTAAGATCTTTCAGGTTGTTTGGGGTTCATAGGTGCAAGTTCAGGACCAGTTCTATTTGCTAATTGAGGTTTTCTTTACTCTTGTATTTAGAAAATATACTACACAGACACTGGGAGGTCTGGSTTTTATTGTACTTGCTATATGCTCTATTCTGTGCGGTTTTCAGTACTGTGCCGGGGTCACCTTGTTTTCCCTCCAATGCTGAGAATAAGTTGGACTTTGTTGCCTTTTCTCATAGCAAATATAAAAGTAAGGGGTTGCCCTCAGCCCTCTACCTTGCCCAGACTCTTAGGTTTTTGTAACCTTCGTGAGCAAGAATGTCCAGAGCCAGAAACACTTTTGGTAGCCATAGTTTCAGCACTGACTGCACCAAAAAACGCGGCCCTTYTTTCGTCTCGGGAGGGTGACAGGTCCCTGCAGCGGAGGCTCCTCCAGCCCTGGGTAGGGGACGCAGCCCCGCGTGCCGCTCTGCACCACACGGATTCCGGGAGGCGCCGCTCCCTGAGGCTGGGCCCGTTCCTTGGCACCGAGGCCAGCCCCGCAGCAGCTTTTTCCCGAACAGGCGCGTGCACTTCCCGCTCTGGGTGGTCCCGATGCTCCCGCTCGGCCCTTGCTGCTTGATGGAAAGGGTGAGGCTCCTGCTTTTCATCCTCCCATGGCTGCTGGAATGCGTGCACACGCGGCCGGGATGCAGCCTGGCCCTTAGGCAGCAGCTCCTCTCCTGGCTACCGTTTCTCGATGAGAGAAGCAACACTGAGCCCTACCTCTGCCCTCCTCGAGCGGTGTGAGTGTGTGCGCTGGCTTCGTGCTGCGCAGCTGTGGCCATTGCCTCATCCCCCACCCGTTCTCCCAAATCCAGCTGAGAACTTACTGCCTGCTCGTGAGCACAGAGGGCTGCTATCTATCTCTTGCAAATGGTTGCAAACCATCTGTGGCTCTTGAGGCTGCTGCTGCAATGGTTGTGCTGGCCTAGGCTCCATTTATATTCGGAAGGATTTTCTACGTCTAGAAGATAGATTTTTTCCATAAGGAAAAGCACTTGCAGAGGAARGTCTCTTTTGGGAGTGAATCTGTTTTCCAGCAGCTGTGGATCAGGYCCTTAACACCAACAGTTCAGAGCAGACTTTTCCTTTGAGTATTCACTGTCACTTTTTCACAGCAGGGTATTTATAGGTGYGATATTCTTGGAAATCTTCAGAGGGGGAATGGAAGTGTCTGGTTAGTCAGCAATTCACATTGCTGCGGAAATGCTTTCGTAGGGGTGGGGAAATTGTCTGGAGGAGAAGATGGTTGTTAAAGGTGCTAAGAGCAGTTTGCATTTCTTGTTCTTTCCTGCTGCTTCCCAGGYCTCTGTGCTGGGAGCTCGTGCTGCACAGCGGCTGCTGCCAGAGCAGGACCCCAGAGAGAAGGTGCCATTGAGGGCAGGTCTCTCCTCCCCCAAATTTAGCAGCATCTCCTTGTGTCGCAGCTGGAACTTCCATGGTGGCCAAATGTGATTTCTATCAACAAAAACCTGTACCCTCAGGTATAACAGAACAGCTTGTTTGTTTATTTTTACACAGTTGTCCCTACTGTTCAGAGAAAAAAAGTGTTCCTACACCCCATTCATCTGAATATGCTGTCTAGAAACATGTTTCATCTGCAAAATTGTTTTAGACAACTTTTGTTTTCACCCATAGYGTTCCACAAGTCCCTGGGAGGCCTTTAATATGTTCCCTCTTACAGTTACTCTAAGAAAATATATACTTTAGTAATGAATTTTAAATTGCACTGGAAGTGCCTTGATGGAGTTTTACAGCCTGCTAATATAAAACACTGTAATAACAGAGAGAAAAAATATTTTCTATACGTGCATAATATTTTATTTTGTTCTTTACAACATTTTTCTTCATCTTGTAATTTATGACATCATTTTTCATGGATTTCAAAGGAGCCTGGGTATTGAGAAGAATAGTCTTCTTTAGTAAGAAAGTAAATTAAGTGTTTTTGATGTTGTGTTTATTTTTGTGGAGTCCTGTAATTCAACCCAGGGTATAGCTGAAGTGTGTTGAAGTAGCGAAGGAGTTTAATTTCTAGAGAAGAGATGGAAAAATGGTGCACCTTGTTACAAATAAAACAAAATAAAATCTGTTTCTTTCAGCACTTGATAAACTACAAGATGTAGCAAACTCTGTAACCTGGCTTTGCCTGAACGGGAACACTTGTCTGATCAGTGCCTTCCTGTGCCYGTGATGGCTTCTGCTTTCACTTTAGAAACTAAATACAACCATTTTTGCATGTAAATTATTCCAGTTGAAGGAAAAGGTTAAATACCAGAGCTGCTGTTACAGGTTCTGGTTGCATCTGGACTGTTACTTCGTGCTGTTCCTTAGTTGCAGACAATGTGTGTTTATATAAAATATTTAATAATATTATTAATAATAAAAATATTTAATATTTAATAATATTTAAGCACGCTCAAAAATTTAAAACCATCCTTCAGTTTTAAGCAGTGTCTATATCAGTGTCTATATCATGCTAGGATTTGCATTATGTTTGTTTTGCTTTTCTTCCTAACATCCGGACAGAGATTTAGGAGAGTCAAATTACAGTTACTCACGGCCCAGGTGAGTAACTATTGAGGATGGGTCCCAGCGGGGCCGGTCCTGCTCAGGCCTAGGGGGACAGGCGCTGCTGTGTCACCCCAGAGCCTCATGCTGCAGCTTGTGCACGGTCCCACTTGCACTCGCTGCCTCCAGATAAGCCAGCTCAGCTGACAATTCAGTAAATAAATAGATGGAGTTTTCTTTAGCTGTGCTGGGTTCATTTATCCTGAGATGCAGCAGGGTACCACTATAAATCCCAAGTAGGCCCTATGCTGSATGGAAGGAGAACATCCATTTTTCACTGTCTTTTTTTAGGAAAATCATTGTACAAAAACCTGTACAAAATGTTCCTCTTAGCTTCTTAGCTTTATCAGTCAAAAGAAAAAAGATGTTAACTTCTTCATCTTAATCTGATGAATAGCTGCTTATGAAAAATATCCAAAGAGGTCTGGGTTCTAGTGAATGTCAAGATTCAACCGTTTCCTTGTAACTAAAGAAAACACAAAATAGTGACCTGGAGTCCCACCTCCTTATAGGTGGGGAATACATTAGCTAATGTGATTAACTTATATARGGCAGCATGATCTAGTAGGGACTGGAGGGCCTGACCTTGCGGGTTGGAATAGGTTTCTGGGCTCGCTGATGTGTGTGTTTGTTTCTCTCTAGCACTAGAACATCTCTTGCAGCCCTGCAGGTTCCCGATAGAGGGTGGGGGGGCGAAAAAAAAGTGTGTGTGAAAGATAGACAAAAAATAATTGTATATTCTAGTTTGGCCACAGGTTTGGATAAGTCCCTGTCTGCATTATAYGTGTCTCATGTTGCTGGCATTTAAGGATGAAGAGATGAAAATGCCAAAGTCCGTGACATCTGGGCGATGCTGAGCTGCAAGCGAGGCAGCGATGCTGCTCCTGCCAGTGCTCCCAGCGCCATGCAGCCTGGAGAGGAGCCTTTCTGGGGGAGGATACAAGGTGCAAGGGCTCAAGAAGGCAGCAGTTGTCTGTGGAGGCAGCTGGTGAAAACTGGAGTGGAGCTAGTTTGGGAGGAGTGTGAAATGCGAGGCACTGCTTTTGGTTTAACATGGGAGAGGGCATGAGGCTGGAGATGCTGTAGGCCARCGTCAACAGGCCATGGATCAGACTCTTCTGCTGCGACTGATTTTCAGGTTAGTCTAATTCACAGCAGCAAAAGTGCTAGTGGAGATGCCAACCTTTGCCTTGGGCAAACTTCGCTGTTTCTGTTGATTTGCATCCTGCTCCCTAAAGCCTGTGTGAAGAGGTGGYGCTTATTGCTGGCAACACGTCCAGCAGAGCTTCTCCTGTGAGAGCCTCTGCAAGGGGGTTGAAGGAGCTGGCAGCCAGTTCTTGGTGGCATTCACCTATCTGTGGAAATCAACTCCAAGAAATCAGATCACTTGGTTGGCTACTTTCCTTCTGTGCTTTTACAGACCTGGCTGTCATAGCGGAGAGGAAAATCAGACACTTAAAACCAGGACCAGGCTTTTTGTCTTGCACTGATAGGTCTGAGTTTCCTTTTGGCTGGAATGTGAAGGAACCCAAGTCCTGCACTGGGGGACATCATGTACAAGAATGTGTACAAACACAGGACAAAAAATGCCGCTGCCATGGAGCAATTGCAATGCATGTATAAATCATCAGGTGAGAGATATTTAGCAACAAATGTTCAGGAATAGCACCAGGCTGCAGAAACATCATCTGCTTTTTCTTTCCTTTTTTTTTAATAAACACAGCAAAAGCCTGTTTTAAAGAGGGAGCTGGCACTGGACTCTGCTCTCCATTCCGCAGACGGGTGGATCTGCCTGTGGTGCAGGCAGGGAGTGATTAACCACCCCAGTGTCATCCCGAGCGCGGAAGGAGGAGCTTCCCTTGTGCCTCGGGAGGGATGTCCCCTTGCCTGTGTCCTCCTGCCCGCAGCATCAGCAAAGGGGGCAGGGGCCTCCGGGAATTGGGTCAGTGACAGCCCCAGCACATGCAGCCTAATTAAGACAGGGAAAATGAGTGGGATGGAAGGATCCCCGCGGGAAAGCAGCTCTGTTTGAACAAGCAGAGAAAGCTGCTTTTCCGCCTGCCCTGCTGAGCTGCCTCCCGGTCTTTCCTGTGGCTGGACGGTGCAATCCCTGCACCAGGGACAGCTCTGCAAGCTGCTCTGCTGCCCAGCCTAGCCCAGTCTGCTGCCACAGACTAGCCACATCTCCTTTCTGCAAAGCATGCTTTGGTGGTCTCTAATATTSCTCAGATGGGCAACAGCTTCCAGATTCAGCAAAACTCTTGCAAGAAATCACTTGCTGTGCTGGTGTGGTCCTGCGCAGCTTGGGCCCCGTTTTCCTTGGCTTTGTTAACACAACTAGATTTAAGGACTGTCAGCAAGCAAATATCTAGGGCTATGTTGAACCCAGAGCAAGGGAGAATCTTTGCCTGCAGACCAGGAATAGATAAGCAACAATGTTCTCTCCCAAAGAGCTATGGGTCAGGGCGGATTGAATATAAAGGCAAATGCCAGTCCRGATCAGATATTTCTATTGGCACAGGCTCCGCCAAAACATCAGTCTTTATGCAGACACRTTGCTTCCTCAAGCTCATTTTCCTTTGCCCAATTCTCTTTGTTTCAGGTAACACAAATGCATCTCGGCAAGGCTGACAGGGCCTTTGGGTCTTGTAGCATTGGGAGCATCAGCGCTGGAAGCAGAAATGCTTGGAAATTCCCCTCTGCTCCTGCCCCTCAGTTCATCACGCAAGAGCCACCAGGACTGCCCTTGCTGTTGACTAACGCCCGGAGCAGTGCGCGCTGCGCGTCGAGAGGTGACGTGGCCCTGCTTACACAGTGAGTCACTCGCAGAGGAATTAACACCTGGCATCTTTAAATTCCTGCTTCCCGGAACTCACGGCCTCTTACTTTTAGTGCTCTTCTGTTCCCTCTCCCRGCCTTTCTGCTTCTTTCCCCCACTGCAGGACTTGTCACGTGTGTGAYAGCCAAGGTGACAGTATGTCACTTGTGACCACTGCCAGGAAAATAAGACATCTGCCCTCTGCTCCACAAATCTATAGAAAGAAACTGAAGTTCCATGTATTTTTATCTTTTTGGAATATTTTGCCATGCCATGCAGAGCTGTGTCCTGTTTTCCTGGACACATCCTTGCTCTGGTCTCCCTGGGGTGGAAGCACAATGCCCAAACCCACCAGCAGCGCCGCCGCAGGAGCTCTGGCAAAAAAAAAAATCCCTGGGTGTGTTTTCCAAATCCCGGTTTGGTGTTCAGCGAGGTCTAACAGCTGCTGTGATCAATATTTAAAGCGAGTTTGATTAAAAAGTTAMAGTCGAGCCTCTAGCTTCATGCTGCCTCGCTGAATAATTCACGGCAGTGGCTCTAGCTGCTGGAAGCTGCTTGTGTTGGGATGAGCAGCAAGTCTGTGGGAGGCTCGTGCTCCCAGAGGCTGCTCTGTGGCAGGGATCGGGGCTTGTGGTGTTTGCTGGGGGCTCCTGGAGCCAAGGCTGGAAAAAGGCACCTGCTCTCCTCCCTTTTGACAGGTATTCCTTGTGCTGATGGGGCTGGTTTGCCATAGTGGTCAGCATGGGAATGAAACTCTTTGCTTTTAGGAGTGTAACAGGAGCAGCGCRTGCAGGGAGGAAGCCCCAAAGGTGAAGGCAGAGGAACAGGATGGGAGCACTGGGTCGGCGGGGATATTTGTATGGAACCCCCGTACAAAGCAGCGGGCCGGGTGGTGCAGAGCGGGCGCTGCGGGGCGCGGAGGGCCGGCCGGGGGCGCGGAGGGCCTGCCCGGGGCGCG